CTTTTCACAAGGGAGGAACGAGCAAAAGAAAAAAAAAGTGTGCATGAGCTGGAGCCTCAGCCGCCAATTATGTGGACGGGGCATTTATTTTAGAAAGAGAGTTAGCAAGGCTTTACTTAGACCGGGAGCAAGGTGCTGCCTCAGAGACCTTTTGATGTTTTCATACTACCTCACAGTCCAGATTAAATTAAGCATCGGCCACCACACGAATGGTTGGGAGAAAAATCCATTTCAATAAGGGGAAGACAATGGGGAGCTATGGCTTCATAATTGCATGTTCCCAAGATAAACGTGTTAATCAAATACAAAGCCTGCATAGAAAACAGTAATTTACTGTTTGAGAAGAGGAGGCTGCTCGGAATATTGCTGATACAATCACAACACAGATGAATTAATTTTAACCCTGTTCTTAATTTGCATATTATGAAAGTCAACATCCTGGACATTGTGAAACTAGAAATGGTCTTAACCCTTGTATTGTATGTGGTTCTTCACAGTCCAATATATATCACGTTGTGGTAAGATTAGATCATATCAATTAATAACTCAATCAGTCATTATATGAGACCTGTAAATCACTGGGCTGTTTGCTGCATTAGGACTCCATTAAATTGTTGCCTTAATACCCAACTTAATATCAGGCACAACTTGTTGATGTGTACATATACATGTACATATAAGATACTAGATTTCAATCATTTTATAATGGTATGAATGCATTTCTGATTCCCATGTCAGCATCCAACCCCTGGTTTACGCTGAAGCGAGGAATAAAAGAATGGCATCAGGTATTATCGTTGACAGCATGACTGAGAGCTGAAGAAACATTTGTGTTGGATTTGACAGAGAGCATGACCCATGTTCCTAAATTATAACAATTTTACAAACATACAAGTTTAGTTGGACTGTGTAGGTGTGATTTGCCCACATTTGACTGACAGTGCAAGCAACTCATCATTAGCTGTAGTTATTCTTCCCAAAGTTCACACATCCTTTTATTCACAGAACAATTTAGGCAGTTGTTGAGGAGAGCTAATTTAACGATTTCCTACACTTTGGGGTTGTTTATTCTATGACAGCTTACATTTCATAAACTCACAACATATTTTGCTGTCAAGTAGCAGAGTAGAAGAATCTAATGTCATGAAATTGAGATAATCAATTGAAAAGACTGGACATTCGTATTTACTGCAACTGCAATACTTGAGTACAGTTACTTACTTACATTCCACCACAGAACTTTAATGTGTGTATAATTAGTTGTAATTATTATGTCATTTACTTGTGAGAATTTTTCCCTGCACAACTTACAGGCGTCATTAATTGGAATTAAAAGTCTAGCTAAAATATCTCAATTACAATGTGGTGGATGGCTGCAGTAGAGTAGAGTAGAAAGTGAAATGTTAGATATATAAAAAATATTTTTTTCTCAAAGATGGTTTCTGTCATTTTGATGTAGTTCTTAATACACTGATATGTATATATATATATAATTTGTTATTTGATTATATAAAAACATGGTGATCGTCATGATGGACAGGTGAGACTGACTCATAATTGTTCGAGTGCGTTTATCAACATCAACTACAGATGTTGTTTCCCTCTTCTTGTTTTCCACTACTTCCAGTAATTTTTCTCTTCCATCCTTTTGAATTTTTCAGTTGGCCTGGAATTTTATCCTCTGAATAAGAACCACTTTAAAATCTCTAGTTGCTGCAGAAACGTCCACTTTTTCGCTGCAGTTTCCATGATGTGCCTTGACATAAAAAATGTACAGTCTCAAAGTAGTGGTTTTTGAGAAATGATGATAACACTTTAAAATTATTTAGGCCACTAACATCTTAGTTTCAAATCTAAAATGTAACATGTAATAAATAACGTGATATTTTTACAAATTTTTAAATGAATTAATCTTCGGGGGTACAAACTATCTGGGTTATATCCCATTGAGTCACACCTTCATAAACTAAATAAGAGCAAATCTGATTGAGAGTGGAAGCCTTTATACGCACAACCTCACACAACCACTTAACATATTTTGATTTAAATGTGTCTGTAGAAGAGTAAATCCTGGCTGGTGCTTTCTCACCATCTTTAGTGACCCAACCAGGGAGACAATTTCAGACAAAAATATAAACATTTACATCTCTCATATAAAAGCTGCTCTGGCAGAAAATTACTTGTCCATGCAGAACCCCATCATTCCTCGTACTGAAAGTTTTCCACAACTTTCAGCAGAGATTGCTTCTAAAAACTAATCCCCAACACAAAAGGTATAAAAAAAATAGTATTATTTGATATTACCGAGGGTGGTCTTGCTTTCTATCAATTTTCCAATTGCCTTCATTTTAAAATATGCAAATGTAGAGAACATGCCTTCTGTGGATGAACATGCAGGCAGGGCAACAAAAGGAGAGAAGAAAAATATAATGTGGCTTTAAGGGACGGCTCACAGTGGTGTTATTGAATGGGTTTGTGATTATGTTCATGTTGGTGTATGAATAATTGAAACATGATGGCATCAGCTGTCATGTTGTGATGAGTATCACCTCACAGTTGTTCATTTCTCATAATTCATTTGAAAATAAGAACACATGTAAACATGATAGAAAATACAGTGATGTGTCAGGCTGGAGGAAAGACCTGGAGAGAAAATACAATGAGACATTACTTATAAATCTTGAGTTTAAGGTCTTATCTCGTCCTGTTCAGTGTTGTCTGATGTGACATCAAGCCACAACAGTCACTTCCAATTGTAAATATGGTCTGATCAGCATGAATAATCAATGACACACTGTCTCATCACTTTGTTGTCTTAAAAGATATAATGTAAGGGCATGTTACAGTTCAGAGGCTCTGCTTACGATGCAGCTGAGAAACTTGTAGAATCGCGATGATGTTCACTCAAATGCATTGTTACATAGATGCAGTGAGACTGCAGTAATCCGGCTTTTCAGAAGTGATCATGAATACCTGATGTTATGCGACTAAATTACTCTGCATCCACATGTGGCCTGTAAACATGAATGCATTTAATTTAAGTCTTGGCACACTTCATTTTCTTCTTCTAATCCTCCCACTCCTCTGACATGGTTTCTACATTTATTGAGCCTATTTTGCATCCACATGAGGTAAAACTCATGCCCCAGTGCAAATTCTGGAAGATCTCATAACAACAAGAACAGAAAAAACCATAACCTCTTCCATTTGAATGACACTCTTATCTGAAAGCATATTATTTCACACTACGACTGGAAAATTCAATTTTTGTGCAGGACCACTTGACTCTCTGACACACGTGGCATTTTTCTCCATAATGAGAAGATAAAAGCCTCATGTAATTGTCAAGAGCAGCTGTGAAGTTACACTGTGCCTACAGCAGAGCCAGATATACATTATAGCTGGGAAACTCAGAAACATGAATTCATTTGCTCCAGCGCAGTCTCACAAACACACACACACACACACACACACACACACACACACACACACACACACACACACAATGTATGTCCTTCAACCTGCATGACATCTCAGGATGGCACTAGCTATTAGGTTCACCATGCCTGATTTGACAGATGTCACATAAGAGGGATTACCTTTAGGTCTCCTTGAGAACCATGGACTGATCTGTAAACATGGAGACAGTTGAGGAGTGCCATGCTGTAAATCACTGGGTATGTTTCAGTCAACAAGAAAGTTAAATAGGTAAATAACACAATAATAAGGGTTGTCAGAGTAATTAAAGAGAAGATAAATAGAATCAATATTTGGGCAATTATCCATTTTACAAGTTTAGCTTTTTGATTTGAACGTGCCAGTAACGAGGCCAATTAAAACTTTCTATCAAAGTCTCAAAAGGGGCTTTGATACAGATACGATGAGAGAGAGATTATGAGATAATAAAGTGCTTGAGTTTCTGACCTAAAAAAAGCACACCATTTATTTACGCTGTCAACTGAACATTAAAAACGTAACAAACAATAAACATATGTCATCCCCATGGGGGTAATCCTCTGGGAGACCAAGGCTAATTGCCTTTAGAGTTTTACCTCTATGGGACAGATGTAATTGACTCGGGAATTTGAGTTTCGTTCCCGAGATAAATAAAATGTGTCTGTGAAGCTCTGAGTTTGTAATTGGCTATAAAAAATTTCTGTTTTCTACTGCGAATGCCCCAGCACATCACCGTCAATCAAAATCCCATAATGAGTGGGGTCAACAAGATGTATCTCTTGCTTTTTAGCTCCAAGCAATTTCCTGCTACTTTTTGTTGCCTTCATTTAAATTCATTAAAATCACTGGATAAGCTGTAATGATTGATATCTAACCTGTCAACCCTGCTGTAACCTTGAGGTAAAAAAAAAAAAGAGCCAAACACATTAAACACTGGTATTTAGATCGCATCAAAGATAATATATGAACTAGAGTATGTACCCAAAGCCGCTGGAGTGTGGCTAGAATATTAAATGTGGCCCCTGGGTAATTACAAATAACTGACACAGCTACACTTTTAATGTAGCAGAAGAATAACAGTAACACAATTCATTTCTATAGGACTAAATTCATTTACTTGGTGTATTGCGCCGTTGCTGCATTGTATAGCTGTGTACGGCACTATTTGAAGCGCTTTTTCCATAAGTTGTTACTGTCCATGCAGAGAGTCAGACTTCATAGTTTCAGCTGCAGTTGTGCTCGTACCTAGAAGAAGCATGCAACGGAGTTCTCTCTCTCATGCGAGAACTTGACTTCCACTCTTTGTACCTACCATCATATGCAGATCAGGGTGTGCCCCTGCACCCCCGCTCCCGCCATTAATTAAATGAATTCTGTGAAAAAAAAACACTAATATCTGTGTTGTGTTTGTGTTTTTGTTCTTCTTCCCAATGTCAGACCAATGATGAAGTTTCAATGTTCTTTCAAGCTGTGACTCTGTGGTACTTGCAATTTTTCTCACTGTTCAGTTAGACTATAATCTACAGTTTTGTGTCTGTTTTCAGGAAAGGACAAAGTGCAGTTAGTGTCTTGACTCTGAGCCAATTAGTGAAGAAGGATGATGCAGAGGAGATAATGCCAGCCAGCATTGTGATCAAAGAGGGGAGACAAACAGGTAAGTTAGGCTTTTAAAAGACTGTTATATTTTACCTCCGTTATCAGGTTATCTGTTATGCTGTCCTCCAGGAAAGATGTCAACTGTTCTCTTATCCTGGGTTGGCCTTTCGATTACAGGAAACATGGGCCAATCCCCAAAAACCATGAAATCGATTTATTACCTGTCAGAAATGTGAGTGTTAAAGGTAACAGGGTTGGGTTGTTTTTTTTTTACTTCTGAATCCCTTGCTAAGCAACACTTAAACACTAAAACTGGAACTGGCACTCAAACATCCAGCACAGTGATTGAATGAATTATAACAATAATAGATGAAAACATTTTATTGATAAATAAATAGTTAGTTCATTAAAAATAAACTTACAGTCATGTCTGTCAGTATCTCTGAGCAAATGTACTAGTGCAGTGTGACATGACATTAAAAATATTAAGGTGTGGTGCAGCATTGCGGTCCCTGAAGGGCCCTTAGGGGTTGCTCTGAGGAACAGTAACAGTGTTTGTGTTTACTGCTCCACTGGACATCTCATATGATCGTCACCATAACTGTAACATTTTTCAGTATGTCGAATTAAAATAAATCCAAGAGTCGTTGGACAACATATTTTTACAGCGTGACATAAAGAAGAATAGTGTTTTAAAAACCTGACAATGTATAATTCTGTCCCCGGCATAATGCTTACATTTAACTCACAACATGACCAGCGGAGTGTAAAGGTTATTTATCAAACGGCGCCTCTTTATTTTTGGTCTGTTAAAAATCCATTAATCACATCCTCGCTATTGGTAAGTAATATTAATTTTTTCATGCAGTCCTGCTGTATAATAAAGCATTTTCCACCACTGTCACAACACAAAAATATAATCTATAATAAATTTCCACCCTGAAATTTTTCATGCACAGGAAATAGAAGTGATTACATAAATAACTCAACTCAGAACATTGCAAATAAGCCAATTAGAAAGTGGAGAGATGACTCTTTTTTTTTTTAAATTTAAATAATCATTTGAATGTGTTAATCCTCGGTTCAAGTATAAGAGGGTACACAGGGGCACGTGGTTATTTTGTGTGAGGGCTGCTGTTATTCAATTAGAAGTGAAACCCTATTGATTAGAAATGACTTGTAATGATTAGCACTGATGAGGGTTGGTGGTATCAGTAGATCATAGTGTAGCTGATGATTGATACTCAGGCAACGGCTCATTAGGTGTAATTGACTCCTTGTTTTTACTGTTACCACAAGTTTTAGCTTTTCCAACCGCTGTGTTTTAACAACTTCTTGTGCTAAATGCTACGTCCTCAACAAGGCAGATTATACCTCTTTTAAAACCAAGAGTATTGGGTCTATGCAGGTTTTTAAACGTGGGTAAATGCACTAAAAGTTGAATAAGAGGCTTAAGTTACCATTACCAGCCACAACAGCATAGCTGGCATAGCTGGTATTGTCTTTTAAGTCAGTGTGTGTTTGTCTGTGTGTCATGGCATATAGTCCTGGACAAAACTACAGTAACAGGAACTCCCACAAGGGTAGTTTTGAGTACCTTGACAGGTGTTTATATGTCCATCTGTCAGTGTGTGGACAGATTTTTATCACCGCAATAGTGTCATAATAAAAACCCAGCCTTCATTTTGATTTTAGCTCCACACCTGAAAAGTTTTGTCCCTGTCTCTTGCACAGTTATGACACTGCTGCATTGACAAGATCTGTCCAGAGACAGACAGACAGACAGACAGGCAGACAGGCAGACAGGCAGACAGATAAACACCTGCCAAACTACTCTCTCTGGTTGTTTCCGCTACAGTAGGTGTCCCCCAGGACCACAATTTGATGACATGATGACACACATGCACACAGACTCACAAGGTGAAAACGATACCAGCCCTGCTGCCGCCGGTGGAAATAATTTAATAATGACTACAGAGTAGGACAGAGTACTCATGGGTCAGAACGTCAACATGTTGATGGGCGCTGCGGCGGGTGTGATCCCATTGCAGGTTGGACTCTACTTTGTACTGCACCAGGTTATATCAGGACGGAGCTGTGACAACCGAACATTGTCCCAGTTGTGCTGGTGAAATTCATACAGAGCTCAAAGATGACTGCTCAACTGTAAAGAGGCATAGTTGTTAAATACTTGCCAATAATCTGCCTCAGGGAACATCTGCAGACAAAAGAGATGAATGAGCCAAAAATATGACTTAAAAATTCAAGAGTGAAAATTAGCTGGGCACTTGTTTGAAGCTTACCACTGTTTTTTTTAAAATTTCATTTAGTATTTCAAATACTTACAACATCAACTGTTCATTTATAATTTCCACTCACCCCCCAAAGAAAGTTAATTATACTATCACACAAACAGCACAGGCATATGGGAACTTTTACCGTCAGTTTTTTGCAATGCTGAAAAAGAAAGAAGCTCTGCATTAACTGTGTGCTGTGGGGCAAAATATAAATGTAATCCAAAAATGTTTTTGTTAGTAACGGCAAAAAGATCTTTGGTATGAGCAATGCATCCCACTCAGCACTGCATCAAAACACATGAAAAAATGATTGAACTCTCTCTGAATCAAAAAAAAAAAATATTAATGGCAATGCACACTATTCTTTGCTGACAACGCTGCCCCAACAGTTTACACCGGGATGTCATTATTATACAAATAAAAGTTAAACCATCAGAATAATTTAATTACCATCAATCTGTATATATTGGGACTTTACCTGAGCCAAGGCATCACATCAAACACAGTGATTTTATCCATTTGGTTATAAATGTATTGAAAAACAGAAAAGACATTCCCTTGTCATTTTCATTTATATTTTTTATTCATACCTAACTTGTAATTCTGTTACTTCTGACAGCAGCCTGAAGGCACCATAATGCTCATTTGTTAGTTTAAATTCATGCAAAACATAGTCAGTAATAATTCAACTTCTGTCCACATCAATACTGTTCGCAAAGTTAAATAGGGCTGGGGAGGATGACGGACTCATGAGATGTAGTGAACATGCGCCTGCCAGTCCACCAGGAACACTCCCACTACTCCAGATGGCCATGTCCTTCCCTGGCTCTCTGTGGATTCTTCCCCTCGTTATGACTCTGGCTGAGGCGACGCAACAATTAGCCTCTCCACATGCCCTCAGCTGCTGTAGTTACATTCTCTGGCTGGAGAGAAAGAAAGGGAGCAAACTGGAACAAGACTGGAGCTTCTTGAAACTAGGCTCAGCTTCTAGAAGCTGGTCCCAGTTAAGACTGACTGCAAGACATCAGTTTCCACATCTGAGAAATGTCTCCCAAAACAGTACCAAACATAATAAGAACCAAATTAAAGATGTTTTGTGTATTTTATTTAGACTGCTTTTTCCATGGTTCTCTGGCATTCAATAGAATAAACAGTAGAGTACATAGCTCTGCCCAGGACCGACAGTCCGCTTATGAAACCAGGTTTAAATTTACTGGATGCAGGTTTTTAGTTGGATCTGCATCAAATTGCAGACTCATAAACATCAGTCCTTTTAACATGCTTGATTCTTTTTCATCAAGATCCATTAATTATTCTCTTAGAAAGGAAGGGCCCTATCTCGCAATGTTCAAGAAAAAGATAAAAGTTCTTGGATGTGCAATTAAATCGGTTCTTCCATGACCCATACACAGCAAGTTACGGGGGTAAGCCTTCTACAGCAAGGCATAGTTGTGTGGTATTGCTAAGTAACAAACAGACACAGATGAAAACATACCCTCCTTTACATGGGAACAAATAATGTTGTAGATGGCATCCTGTCAAGACAGCTAATATTTTGTTTGTTCAGAGACAAAACATTTTTATTGGCACATTGGTTAAAAAAAAGTTAAAGGGGACAAGGTCAACTCTAACCTTTTAGGCCAAGCACAGAACGCACAGTGAACATTATATAAACCCACATATTCATACATACTATATGAGGTTTAAAAATGCTACTAATTGGGATGCAACCCATGGCCTGTCTTTGCGCAGTTTCAAGTGATGATTCAAGTACTTCAAAGGCCTCTGATCTTTAAGTTTACATTATTTTATAAAGCCGCTTTATATCTGCAGACAATTTCCAAGATTCTGTAAGTCATTTACAGTGTAGAATCAAGGGCACAGTGGAGGACTTCCTCCTGGCTATGGTATTGATCTATGTGTAAGCAGTGACAACATGAAATGAATCTAGTGAGGCGGTAATCTGTGTGGCAATGACTATGTCCTGAGCAGCAGAGGTGATTTGTATTCCAATATTACACATTTTATGTGCATGGAGGGTTTACAGGTTTTCTTAAAGGGTGGTTCGTCACTAGCTGATAATATCTAAACACCCTGTAAATAACATTCAATATCAATAAATGTAAAAATGTTAAGTGCTAGTTTTGAAGGAAAGTTAAACATTGACTTTTATGTAAATTAAGCTTAAGTTTTTATGCTTTTTCCAAAACGCCTCATTGGGCCACAGAGAGACACAACTTTGCTATTTGATCATTAATTCACCTGCAGCTACCCATTTTCTGTGATGCACCCTTTTAGCTTGTCACCTCATGTTTTGCGCTGGTCCTCCTGAAGTAACAGAATTTTTATAACTGTGGTTGCCAACTTGAAGTGCAATTTTTTTTTTTTTTCAATCTCAAATTACTCCACAATCCGATACATTGCATTTATATAGTTGAAGCTGCTCTCATTGTTAAAGACAAATTTCTATAGCCCTGTACTATTCTTATCCATCATTCAAAGAGCTTCACAGAACAAGCCACGCTTACCCTTCACTCACATTCACACTACTCATTAATTCTATGGTAACAACGGGTTAATGGACAGTATCTAATGTGAGACGGGTCAACTCGTAAGTTTACTGCAGCTATGTGGAACATCTCAGTATCTTTTAGTACATTGTTTTGATTTTAATGCCCCCAACTTTACTGTTTAGGTTCATCCTTTTTTAGCAAAAACAAAACATTAATGAGCAGCTGGTGAACATAATAGCACATTTAAT